CTCTCTGTCCCATTACAGCAAAATTTGAAAGCTGTCTGTACATGCTGTCTCTGCTTCCTCTTGGTACAACCTCTCTTGAACCTGCTCCATTCATTAGCATTTGAGCTGCTTTCCTCCCACCTGGGTTTGGCTGTCATCCCTTCCCCCACTCCATGCACTGCCAATAGTGCAAGAGTTCCCGAGTCTCATCTCTCCTCAGAAGAGCTTGTCACTATTTGGGATTCAGGTCACCTGGTACCCAGGTCACCTCAGGTCTTTGATGGGCTCAAGAAAAATTATTTTGTATGTTATCTGCTTATTTTGTCGTTGGCGGTAGTGATTTAGGAGAAGCATTCTCTTCCATCTTTCTACATCTTAATGAGGAAGGTTTTTGATTGACTTTGCCCAGATCCATCAGAGGAATCACCATGTATGGCAGCTATAGCCTTACAAATTGTGTTGCTTAAATAAGACTTGAAAGCTGAAATGACTCCTTGATCCACAGGCTGCAGAATGGATGCAGTGTTAGCAGGTGTGAAGACAAAATTCATTCCATTGTCCGTCTTCATCAAAGCTCATGCGTGACAAAGTGCATTGTCAATGGCAGCAGTATTTTGAAAGGAATCTTTTTTTTTTCTGAGCAATAAGTCTCAACAATAGGCTTAAAATATTCAGTAAACAATGTTGTAAATGGATGTGCTGTCATCCAGGCTTTGTGTTTCCATTTATAGAACACAAGCAGAGTAGATTTAGCATCATTCCTAAGGGTCCTAGGATTTTCAGAATGGCAAATGACCATTGGTTTCAACTTCAAGTCACCAGCTGCATTAGCCCCTAACAAGAGAGTCAGCCTGTCCTTTGAAGCTTTGATGTAAGGCATTGACTTCTCCTCTCTAGCTATGAAAGTCCTAAGTGGCATCTTCTTCCAACATAAAGCTATTTTATCTACATTGAAAATCTGTTGTTTAGTTTATCCACCTTCATGAATTATCTTAGGTAGAGCCTTTGGAGAACTTACTATACCTTTTTTGTCAGCACTTGCTACTTCACCTGGACTTTGATGTTATGGAGAAGGCTTCTTTCCTTAAACCTCATGAACCAACCTCTGCTGGCTTCAAACTTTCCATTTGCAGCTTCCTCACCTCTCTCAGCCTTCAGAGAATCGAAGAGAGTTAGGGCCTTGCTCTGAATTAGGCTTTGGCTTAAGGGAATATTTTGATTGGCTGGATCTCCTATCCAGACCACTGAAACCTTCTCCATATCAACAATAAGGCTATTACACTTTCTTATCATTCATCTGCTCACTGGAGTAGCACTTTTAATTTTCTTCAAGAACTGTTCCTGTGCTTTCCCAGCTTGGCTAACTGTTTGGCACAAGAAGCCTAGCTTTTGGCCTGTCTCGGTTTTCACTGGGCCTTCCTCACTGAGCTGAATCATTTCTAGCTTTTGACTTAAAGTGAGATGTGTGACTTTTCCTTGCACTTGAACACTTAGGGGCCATGGTAGGTTTATTAATTGGCCTACTTTCAATATTATTGTGTCTCAGGGAATAGGGAGGCCTGAGAAGAAGGAGAGACACGGGGGATGAGCCAGTCAGTGGAGCAGTCAGAACATACACAGCATTAATTAAGTTCATCGTCTTATATGCATGGAGTTCATGGCACCCCAAACAATCACAAAAGTAACCTCAAAGATCACTGATCACAGATCACAATAACAAATACAATAATAATGAAAATGTTTGAAATATTGCGAGAATTACCAAAATTTGACACAGATGCTGTTGGAAAAAATGGTGCCAATACATTTCCTCTATGCAGAGTTTCCACAAACCTTCAATTTGTATAAAATGCAATATCTGTGAAGAGCAATAAAGCTAAGCACAATGAAAACAAGTATGGCTGGAGTGCTGGGCACAAATAATTTGGTGTCTTTCTCCTTCCATCTTCACCAGCACCAGGGACAGGCAATGACCCGGGTAACTATGTTTTGTATAATAAAGACTTTGGCTGGTCTTTATTCTTGTTTCTGGGAGGTAACCTCTAAATCCTTGGAATTCCCTGAGTGATAGGAGTGTCTTTGTTATTTATGGTGGGCCTCTCAGACCACATCTGAGTTTATGCTAAATCACATAACACATGGTGGACCCCTAGATAGTTTCAGGATGGGGGCTGGCCATGCTAGAAAGACCAATTATATGATTAGAGGATTGTGGCTTTGAGCCAGGAGACATCAACCTCCAGGAAAGAGAGGATGCCTGGAGATTCAGTTTAGTCCGGAGGACATGGAAGCTTCGTGTTCCAGACTCTCAGAACTTGTATCTCTTCTTTGGCTGGGCCTGATTTGCAGATTTTATAATAAAGATGTAATAGTAAGTATAGTGTTTCCCTGAGTTCTGTGAGTTGTTATAGTGAATTATTGAACCTGAGGGAGTAGTGGAAACCCCCACATTTTTTGCCAGTTGGCCAGAAGTGTGGGTCATCTGAGAATCCTGGAGCTTGCAAATGTTGTCTGAAGTGAGAGGTGTCTTGTAGAGGACTGTGGTCTCAACCTGTGAAATCTGACCTAACTCCAGGCAGTTAGCATTGAAATTGTATTACTATACATTGGTCTTAAGCCACTATGTTTCTCTTAGGACTGGCCCAAGGTCTAGCTGACCAGAAGGAAGTCCGCAGGTTGACCTGGCTCTCCCACCTAAGCCACATTCATCCCAATCAGTTTTATCAGTAATAAAGATGCTATTTAGGTTGAAACACATGTCAAGGGAGACATGTCAAATGTTGTGGATGGTAAAGGAAACCTATTTGAAAGAGGTGGAAAGGAACACTCAGCATCACTGGAAATGAGAATGACACCATGTCAGTAGAGAAGCGGCAGGGACAGTCTGGTCAGATATGTGAGGGGAAGCCCACCCAAAGAACACACTGAGCAGTGGTCTAGTATGTTGGCTTCTGGTAATGTCCATGTCACAGGAGGAAGACCATGAGTTAACCAGACCTGCCTGAGGGTCTACGACAAGCACAGAAGTGGGACACCCAGGTAGCTCTGACTCCTGCCTCCACAGACAATGCCATGATGGGCATCCCCACACATCCCCCTAAGGAGGTGGTGACTGTTCCCCAGGAGTAGAACTGCTAGGGTTTAGGAACAGGCACACTTCCTGATTCAGTCGTGCCGGGTTGCTCTCTGCTATGACTCCACTCCTGCTGTGTCCTGGTGACCTCTGGGGGTTTCCTCCTTTGTGACAAGCTTATTCATACCCCAGTAAATGAAGAGAACAAAACCATTTGGGGAGGAGGGGGAGGGGAAACAGGGCAGTGGCATGAAAGAGCTAAATTCTCACCTCCCCATCAAGAAGCGAGGTCTTAAAAAATGATTTTTTAAAAAGGGAGAAAGAAAAAGAACCTCACTGAAGCCACCACAGCTGCTGCACGCAGTCAGGTGAGACTCTCCATCACCGTCGTCACATCACGACCACCGCCACCATCCCCACCGACAGCACCTCCCTCCCTCCAGCCCACGTCAGGGTGCTCCAGGTTCTGTAAGGCAGGCTGTTCACCTGTGTGGAGTGACAGGGACCGGATCTGCCCTGCCACTTAACCTGAAAGAACTCCCTAAAACCAGGCAAAATACATGAAACACAGGCTGTGAGGAGGGTGGCTGTCGGGTGGGGAAGGACAGTCAGGGCTCTCTGGGAGACGAGAAAGGAAGAGGGAAGCCGTGCACTGGCCCCAGCTCACTGTCCCAGAGACCTTCCAGACGGAGTCCAGCTGGCTCCCTGGGTCTGGGGCCAGCCTGGTGGGCAGAGGACTGGAGAGGAGGGAGCCCTGCACCCGGGCAGAGGGTCCTGTGGGAACCCTAATGGAAACCTCCTAATTCAGGTGACATCATATATAGTACTCAGAGGGACCTTAATAGTGTGGAAAATATTTACTCCTACACTAAAAGCTGCTCTGCTCCCACAGATCAAATATTAAGGCAAGACTGAAAAAGATCAAACTGTTTCTAAGTAAGTTAACAATATTCAATTTTAAAAGTTCTGGAATATATTTACGGAAAAAACAATACCCAGCACCCAATAAAAAGGGTATGCCAAGAATCAGAGAAATCCAACCCATTAAAAGGAGATTGAAGTCAGTCAATTAAATACATCTCAACTGGAAAGGAAGAAGTAAAATTTTATCTGCAAACATGACTGTCTATGTAGGAAATCAAACAGAACCTACAAAAGAGTGACTAGAACTAATTAGTGAGTTTAGAAGAATGCAGGATAAAAGACATATTAGAGGAAGCTAAGTTCCCTGCCCAAACGCTTAACTGTCCCCGCAGTTTTCCTCACTCATCTCAAACAAGTCCAGTCAGCCTGGGTTTTTTCTCTTCTCAGGCAAACTAAGCTTTTTATTTTAGTAGGAAACCAACCCAGTGGTGACAAGGATATTGGGAAATGAAAATCTGGTGGTAGGCATATTTTCTAAAGAATAATTGTGATCAAGAGTCTTAAGAAAGGAATAGAAAAGTAAACATTAAGGTCAATATTTCTACCTTTTGGAATCTATCTTAAGGAAATAACCATTCATGGAACAAATTATATACATTAATTCCACTGAATCATTAACTATAGTAATAAAAAATTAGAAACAACTTAAACATTCAACAATTACAGTATAATGCATCTTATAGGCATCCATTCAATAACATGGTTTTGAAGAGCTTTTAGAAAACGTAAAAACTAATATGTTAAATGATAAGAAATTCAGGAAAAAATTTTAAACCCTTAAGTTGTTAACTTCTACATGTATGTTATCGTACATTTAATGTACAACCAAGTACAACCAAGAAAATATTTCAAAATGTTGACAGTAGTTAGTGGTGTACATAGGGCTTGATTTTCAGTTTCCTGAATTGTCTTCAATTACCTTGTACTACTAGAATATCTGAATTCCAGAACCTTCCCTCCAACACAAGGACAAAGATAAGAAAATCCAGAAGTGCATTAGCTGAAAAGAAACTGAGACACAAGGTAAGTAGCTCAATTTTATTTCCTTCAGTAATAAACATTTACACATCCTAGTTCTTATGCAACACAGAAACAAAGCAAATGAACCAAGAGACACCAAGGGCCAGTACAGGCAAAAAAGTAGATCCAATAACAAAGTGGCAATTACTCCAAGACT